AGCAGGATATAAAATTCCTCTTTTCATAAAGGCATTCATTGTATAAACTGTTGTTTGAACAATAGCCCAAACATCTGCATTAACAAACAGAAGCCTGCTAAATAATACTCCTCTTTAGTCATGAAAAGAGCCATCTGTTCACCTAGCTAACCCAGGGCAAGCAAGGCAAGCACCACCACAACTTGCTTATGTTAAGCATCCTCATGCTCCATGTTTCGGTGCACATTACTTCTGTTTCCAAACTGCAATAGCATAGCATTAATCATAACAATAAAAGTCTTAAACACAAACCTCTACAATGAAAGGCTCTAACTTGCCAAAGAAAATTCCCTCTGATGTTCAATTCAAGAACACAAGTGGACTATAGCCTTATACACACAGGGAGGTGAGTCTGTAAACTCTACAGTTACTCTTGTCCCATTAGGCTTACTTTTTTCTTTTCTTCCTTCCTATACTTAGTCTATATACTTAGTCTAGTTATTCTTACAACTGGATGCTACTTTTTAAGAGAAGGCTCCATTAAGTTTCCAAAGTGGATTCTATCCAAATCTCACACTAAATTTTCATGGGTTAGCCACTGTGTCGAGGAGTACCAGATTAGGTCCTATTACTCCAAAATTCAGTGGCCTTACTGAAGTGAAGGCCTTCCCACACATCTTACCCATTCAGCTCTATGAGTTCCCTGCTCTCCCTGCTGTTCATACAAGAAACTTATCCCCTGCTGTTGCTGGATCCCTCCCTCTTGCCTCTCCCCAGTACTGCTAGCCAGACCCTGCTGCCCACTGCAGCCAACAAAACCGGCTGCCTCGGCAGAGCTGCAACTTACTGTGCTGAAACCACGACTGGGCAGCGATGGGAGGCAGGGATAGAGACCAGAGCCCTCCCTACCCAGGGCTGCGGGGTGTGCAGGCTGCCGCCTGGCAGGGGAGAAGCGGGGATTGCTCCGTACCTGACCCAGTTGTCGCGGAACTTGCTCTGCTGGGGCTGGTTCAAGTAAATGGTGCGGGCTGGTGCCTCGTCCAGATCCGCCGAGGACGTGGCTCCAGAC